CCACTTGACTTCACATTCCAGGATGTCTGGCTCTAGGTGAGTGATCACACCATCATGATTATCTGGGTCGTGAAGATCTTTTTTGTATAGTTCTTCTGTGTATTCCTGCCACCTCTTCTTAATGTATTCTGCTTCTGTTAGGTCCATACCATTTCTGTCCTTTATTGAGCCCATCTTTGTATGAAATGTTCCCTTGGTACCTCTAATTTTCTTGAAGAGATCTCTAGTCTTTCCCATTCTGTTGTATTCCTCTATTTCTTTGCATTGATCGTTGAGGAAGGCTTTCTTATCTCTCCTGGCTATTCTTTGGAACTCTGCATTTAAATGGGAATATCTTTCCTTTTCTCCTTTGCGTTTCACTTCTCTTCCTTTCACAGCTATTTGTAAGGCCTCTTCAGACAGCCATTTTGCTTTTTTGCATTTTTTTTGCCCATGGGGATGGTCTTAATCCCTGACTCCTGTACAATGTCACGAACCTCCGTCCATAATTCATCAGGCACTCTGTCTATCAGATTTAGTCCCTTAAATCTATTTCTCACTTCCACTGTATAATCATAAGGGATTTGATTTAGGTCATACCTGAATGGTCCAGTGGTTTATCCTACTTTCTTCAATTTAAGTCTGAATTTGGCAACAAGGAGTTCATGATCTGAGCCACAGTCCCAGGCAAGAATATGGAGTGGGTTGCCATTTCCTTCTCCAGGGGATCGTCCCGACCCAGGGATCGAACTGAGGTCTCCTGCCTTGTAGGCAGACACTTTACCCTCTAGGCCACCAGGGGAGCTCGAAGAAATGGATAAATGCCTAGAAATACATTTTTCCAAGACTTAATCATGAAGAAACAGAAAATCTGAACAGACTGATTACTAGTCAGGAGGTTGAATCCGTAATTAAAATCCTCCCAACAAAAACACGTTCAGGACCAGTTAGATTGACTGGTGAATTCTACCAGACATTCAAAGAAGGGATAGGGATCCTTCTTAAACCCTTCCAAAAATAGAGGAGGAGGGAACACTCCAAACTCACTTCACAAGGCCAGCATAACCCTGATACCATAACCAGACAAGGATGCCGTAAGGAAAGGAAATCATAGGCCAACACCCCGATGAACACAGACACAAAAATGCTCATCAAAAATACTAGGAGACCAAATTCAGCAACACATTAAAAGGAACATACACCACGATTAATTGGGATTTACTCCAGGAATGCAAAGCCAACCTAATAATACAGCACATTACCAAAATGAGCGATAAATCCTCTGACCATCTCCATAGATGCAGAAAGAGCATTTGACAAAATCCAGCCTCCACTAAGATGATAACTATCAACAGAGCAGGTATAGATGGAACAGAACATAATAAAGGCTATAGACAGACGGCATTTTCACCAGAGAGAGTGTCAAGCCGTTATGACGAAGAATGCGCTGGGTGTATTTTAAACAGTTTTCTCTTCCCTCTGCCAGAGGCGCCAGGTGGTTCTCCTCGGCTCTTCACCCTAAGACCCTGGTGGGGTTCCTGGAGGTAAAGGCCAGGGATCTCTGAGACTGACGCACTAGTCCTCACTCAGCCAGAAGCAACTCACCGAACGGCCCCTGAAGTGTCCCCACCAGCTTGCGGCTCCCGTGGCTTCCGCTCCCGAAGTGGGGCAGCTCTCCCAGGCAACAGAGAGTCCTCCGAGCTGTTCAGGGTGACCTCTGACCTCTGCTGCTGGCTCACTGGCAGCTTTATGTCCTCTGACTCCAAAACTGGCCTCGCCCTTCCAGAGAGACAGCATCCTGCAAGGCTGCAGCCAGTGCCCTTTCTCCTCTGGTGCTTCCAGCTCTTGCACCTGTCATCAACATAGTGGCAGGAGGACCTCCCTAGCGGTCCGTGGTTAAGAACCCATCTGCCAATGCGGGGGACACGGGGTTTGATCCCTGGTCTGGAAGATAAACACGCCGCGGGGCAGCCAGCCCGCCCACCGCAACTAGAGAGTAGCCCCGCAGCAAGGAAGTCCCAGTGCAGCCAAAAATAAACAAATATTACAACAGAAAAACAATCGTGGCAGGGGATGAAATAAAGGAGCAAGTATACAATGCATCAGTAGAAATTATGCCTCTGAAAAAAGCATGTTTGGAATGGAAATAAAAGGAGAAATGAAACAGTAACACCACTAATGATTTCAGGCTAAAAGATGGGGAACATTCTCAGACACTGAAAAACATCACTTTAACTCAAGGTCCTCCAACCCTCGGGTGAAAAAGGAGAGAGGTCCCCATGGAGGCGGTGGGCCACGGGGTGTGCCAAGTCCAGTAGATCCTCCAGCTCGGAAAAGTGACTGAAGATCAACTGGCTTTCCTGGAATCAAGTATTCCCAGGACCAAAGGGGACTTTTAAGGAAGGGCCCTTTTAAGATGGGGTGGGTTGGGCGGGATCGAGCGGGACACCCCGTGCTACCATCTCACTGAAGGCCCTTCACCTCCGGACAAGTCACCAGCACAACTGACTCCCAGATGCCGCTGTGGCCCCCCCAGTGGCCCGGGTCCCGCGCGGTACCCAGCCCCACACGGCCTCCGCTCCTGGTCGCTGGTGCCATCTGGGCCTCTACTCCCATCGGCATCCCGCCACCACCACGGCCCCTCGCACCCTGGGCTGGCTGCCTGCTGGGCCGCCCCTACCAGGCCTCAGAGCAGCCCCACGCCCTCTGCCACCCACTCCTCTGGCGCTGCCCTGAGCCTGATGTAGCCCCCGGGTTCTGGGAGAAACGCCACGGGCAGCGACTACCTGTGCATTCTTTCCATCGGAAATACTAGGCTGGGACCCCCTGGTGGTCCAGTGGTTAAGAATCGGCCTTGCAATGCACAGGATTTGGGTTCAATCCCTGGTCGGGCAGTAAGACCCCACGTGCCTTGGGGAAACTAAGCCCGCCCAATACAGCTACTGAGCCTGTGTGCAGACCGCGCAGCACGGGAGAGCCCACGGGACACAGAGAAGGGTGCAGCCAAACAAACATCTGAAAAAACAAGACCCCCAGAGCAAGCAAGCAAACAGACCACTAAGTCTCAACCGGAGACAGACGCCGGAAAACGAAGTCCACTCATTCACTCACTCAACCAGCATGCGTTCATTTGTGTGCCTTCTGGAACTGGACTTAACAGCCATTAAGAGAACTACTGTCTCTGGCCTTACAGGACTGTCTCTGAAAGACACAGACGGGGAAACAGTCAATTTACAACACAGCAGAGCTGCGTGGGAGCAAGAACAGGGCTACAGGTGCGCAAAGGGGACCAAGGTTTTTAAATTCCTTAGAATTTAAACAAGCTAAAAGTGACTTGCTTAGTTCACCTTCTCCCCTCCCCCCGCCTCATTTATTTTTATTAGTTGGAGGCTAATTACCTTCTTGTCTTGTTCTCCAAAGTACAAACATCTGTTTCAAGTTTTATAGTGAGAGAAGGTAGAGCTGGGGCAGTCCATTCAACACATTTAAACCAAATATTTAAAAAAAACCCGGTTTCCTTAAGTTAACTGTCCATTAAAGCAGTAATATTTTGATCATAAAAAGTGTTAACATTTTATTATTCTAAAAAGTTCTTTATATTTTATGCTTCAAATATCCAGCATAGATCATGGAGAAAAAGAAATATTTCAGTAGAGCTGGAGACATTAAGGCAGACCATAAATTTTTAAAATTGAAAAAATTAAAAAGAAAGGAAAAATCTTGGGATTCCACATTATTTTTTAAACACCTATTAATAAACATTAAATTTTCACAACTGTCCTTTCCTTCAAGAATTAACACACAGCCCCAGGCTTCACAGTATTAAGGTCCTTGTAGAATTCTAAACAATGTGCCTACGCGTCTCACCACTTCCACTCTCTCCCCGGTAGAACGGGCATCATAGCCCCTACCACACAGGGTCACTGTGAGGATCACAGAAGATTCTGCGTCTGTGAAGATGCTCTGCGAATCCATAAAGTGCTCTAAACACATTAAAAAGAAAATAAAAGCCACATATGACAAACACACAGCTAACATTATTCTCAACAATGTAGAACTGAAAGCTTCGCCTCTACAATCAGGAACAAGACAAGGGTGCCCACCCATCGATCCTGTTTCCTGCACTGCAGGCAGATTCTTTACTGATTAGCCACCAGGGGAGCCCCAAGACATACTATAACTTTTTTTTTTTTTTTGACATACTATAACTTTAAAAAATGGCAAAAGTTAAAGAGAAATTCTAAAGGCAGCAAGAGAAAAACTGGCGGCTCAGTGATAAAGAACCTGCCTGCCAATGTAAGAGACACGAGTTTGATCCCTGGATCAGGAAGATCCCCTGGAGAAGGAAATGGCAACCCACTCCAGTGTTCTTGCCTGGAGAATCCCATACACAGAGGAGCCTGGCAGGCTGCAGTCCACGGGGTCACAGAGACTAGGACAAGACTCAGCAACTAAACAACAAATTTTAAGGGAACCGCACCACCCCACCCCCCCCACCACAAGGCCATCAGACAATTTCTCTACATGTTACAGGCCAGAAATCTATCTTACAGTGGTACGATATACTCAAAAGTCCTAAAAGGGAAAGATCTGTAACCGAGGATAGTCTATCCAGCAAGATTATCACTTAGAATAAACAGAAAAAAATGCAGCAATTCTAAACCTATCCTAAAAGAAATGCTAATAAAGAGGAAGTCACAACGGGAAAATAAATCATGTAAATAAGCCAGTAAATAGACTTTTTAAAAAATCTAAAAATCTTCTGTGAGTGATAACCACAGTGAGTGGAGGATGAACATAAAGATGTAAAACAGGGAATCAAAATCATAAAACGTGGGAAGGAGAGTAAGAAAATAGATTATATCCCCTCTATAATGTGTTTGAGCCTATATGACTACCAGTATAAGACAAGCAAACACAGGAAGGGGTTAACATACTTGAAAAACAGGGTAACCACAAATCAAAAACATACAACAGATTCACAAGAACCAAAAAGAAGAGAACATAAACAAGAGAGAAGAAAATCATCAAACCACAAAAGAGAAAACAAAAAGGGACAAAGAAGAAACATAAAATCAAAGGGAAAACAAGATTTAAAATGGCAATAAATACATATCTATCAAGAATTACCTTAAATGTCAATGGACCAAATGCAGCAATTAAAAGACACAGAGTGGCAGACTGGATTAAAAAAAAAAAAAAATCACCCCCAAACAAGAGGCTACAATACACTGGTCACAAAAGACCCACTGTAGGGCAGAGGACACATACAGATGGAAAGTGGGGATAGAAAAAGATACTTCATGCAAACGGAAGTGACAAGAAAGCAGGGGCTGCAATACTAATATCAGACAAAACAGACTTTACAACAAAGGACATACAGAAAGATAAAGAAGGACAATATATGCTGATATAAGGACCAACAGAAGAAGATTTTACACTCGTCAACATGAGTGCACCTAATATATGGGGACACCCATACACAAAACAAATACCAACAGACATAAAGGGAGAAACTGACAGAAATCCAGAAACAGCAGGAGACTTTAGCATCCCACTCACGTCAATGAACAAATCTTCTGAATAGAAAATCAATAAAGTAACAGAGATACTAAATGATACAAAAGGGACAGTTAAGACTTAATTGGTATTTTTAGAACATCACATCCAAAAAATATCCCAGAATACACATTATTTTCAATTACACATGCAACATTCTCTAGGATTCACCACATACTAGGGTTCAAAACAAGCCTCAACAAATTTAAGAACATGGAAATTATCTCAAGCATCTTTTCTGACCAAAATGGCATGAAACTAGAAATTACTCACAGAAAAACGAGAAAAAAACAAAATGATTACATGAGGACTAGACAACAAGCTCTGAGAAGGCAATAGCAACCCACTCCAGTACTCTTGCCTGGAAAATCTCATGGATGGAGGAGCCTGGTAGGCTGCAGGCTATGGGGTTGCTAAGAGTCAGACACGACTGAGTAACTTCATTTTCACTTTTCACCTTCCTGCATTGGAGAAGGAAATGGCAACCCACTCCAGTGTTCTTGCCTGGAGAATCCCAGGGACGGAGGAGCCTGGTGGGCTGCTGTCTATATGGGGTTGCAGAGTCAGGCACGACTGAAGTGACTTAGCAGCAAACAACAAGCTAATAAAAAACCAATGGGTCAACAGTGAAATCAAAGAGGAAATTAAAAAATACTTTTAGACAAATGAAAATGAAAGCACAGCCATACAAAATCTACGTGATGCAGGAAAAGCAGTTCTTAGAGGAAACTTCACAGCAATACAGGCCTTCCTCAAAAAACAAGAAAAATCTCAAATAAACAACCTAATTTATCACTTAAAAGAATTAGAAAAAACAAAACCTAAAAGCAGAAGGAAGAAAAAGTAATAAATGTCAGAGAGGAAATGAACAAGAGAGATTAAAAAACATAGGTAAACCAAAAGAACCAAAAACCGGTTCTTTGAAAGGATAAACACAATTGACAAACCTCGAGCCAGGCTCACCAAGATGAAGAAAGTGACAACCCAAATCAACAAAACAAGAAATGAAAAAGGAGACACAGCAGAAATACATAGCAGAATACTACGAACAATTACGTGCCAACAAAGTTGACAACCTAGAAGAAATGGTTAAGTTTCTAAAAACACACAGCCCATCAAAACTGAATCAAGAAGAAATAATCTGATCACCAGAAGGGAAATACAGTCTGTAATTTAAAAACTCCCTACAAAGAAAATCCAGGACCAGAGGGCTTCAAAGATAAATTCTACCAAACATGAAAAGAAGAACTGATACCAATCCTTAAGTGAAGTGAAAGTAAAGTGAAAGTAGC